AATTCTCTGCTTTCCACCTTAAATTCTCTGCTTTCCACCTTAAATTCTCTGCTTTCCACCTTAAATTCTCTCCTATCCGCCTTAAATTCTCTGCTTTCCGCCTTAAATTCTCTCCCGTCCACCTTAAATTCTCTCCTTTCCACCTTAAATCCTCTCCTGTCCGCCTTAAATTCTCTGCTTTCCACCTTAAATTCTCTGCTTTCCACCTTAAATTCTCTGCTTTCCGCCTTAAATCCTCTCCTGTCTGCCTTAAATCCTCTCCTGTCCACCTTAAATCCTCTCCTGCCTCTCCTGTCCGCCTTAAATTCTCTGCTTTCCACCTTAAATTCTATCCGGTCCACCTTAAATCCTCTGCTCTCCACCTTAAATCCTCTCCTGTCCACCTTAAATCCTCTGCTTTCCACCTTAAATTCTATCCGGTCCACCTTAAATTCCCTCCTGTCCGCCTTAAATCCTCTCCTGTCCACCTTAAATCCTCTCCTGCCTCTCCTGTCCGCCTTAAATCCTCTCCTGTCCACCTTAAATCCTCTCCTGCCTCTCCTGTCCACCTTAAATCCTCTCCTGCCTCTCCTGTCCGCCTTAAATCCTCTCCTGTCCGCCTTAAATCCTGTCCTGTCCACCTCGGTCTGTCTGCTCTGTATTTTTATTGTTGAGCTCATTATTTTAGTCATAATTAAATCATCAGTCGACAGCACAGCTTCATCCTCACATGCTCCACATGACTTTGTTCTTCCTGTTTCCATTGTGCTGCCCTCTGATTGGCCAGGAGTGTAGTGACCCGTGCTGTAATGCGTCCACCTGTCGGCTGGTTCCTGGGGCTCAGTGCTCGTCAGACGGTATCTGCTGTGAGGACTGTAAGGTCAGACCGGCTTCATGTCTCTGAATTTAAGCCGTCAGCATCAGGCAGAGCCTCACCTCTTCTTCTTCTTCTTCTTCCTTATTCAGCTGCGTGCCGCAGGCTCCGTTTGTCGTGAGCCGCTCGGCGAGTGCGACCTGCCTGAGTACTGCACAGGCTCCTCCCCCTACTGCCCCCCTAACGTCTTCCTGCAGAACGGTGAAGCCTGCCAGAACGGCGCCTCCTACTGCTATGGAGGAGTCTGCACCAACATGGACACCCAGTGCCAGATGCTGTGGGGAACCAGTAAGAAAGCTGAGTCTAAACCAGTTTACGCCAAACTAAAGCAGTTTAGCTGGTTGCTCCGCTGAAAGCAGCGGAACATTGAGATGAACCTGAAATAAAAATCTCCATCTAAACCAGAAACATCCTTTCTCCTGTAACTGGTTTGAACTGGTTTGTGTTCAGATGCCAGCAGCGCTCCAGCTGTGTGCTTCTCCTCGGTCAACAAACAGGGAAACAAATATGGAAACTGTGGTCAGCTGACCAACGGCTCCTACCTCCCCTGTGCAAACTCGTGAGTAAATGGTGCTGTTCCGTGTCCAGCCTACAAATCCCATGATGCCTCAGTGCTCCAGCTTTATCTGTCTGTTTCAGAGACGTTCTCTGCGGGAGGATCCAGTGTCAGGGCGGGACAGAGCGCCCCCTGCTGGGCAGCATCGCCCAGATTCTCACTGTCCGCTTCAACAACAGCGACCTGGTCTGCAGGGGGACCTTCTTCCACCTGGACGACGACGTGTCGGATCCAGCCACCGTGGACCAGGGGACCGCCTGTGGGCCCGGAAAGGTCTGAGGAACGCCGACCGGTTTTAGATTCCATCTGGACTATAGCTTCGTTTCCATGGACACAAATAATCAGCTTGAAGGTCTGATTAGATCTTGATTAGATTAGATGATTCGGTCCGACTGGAAATGGTTTTTATTCTGATCTTCATCCTGATCGGTGTCCATGTTCTCACCCAGACGGATCTTTGGAGTTAAATCCTCTCCTCTGCTCATGGGCACAACGCCAGCGAGACGTTTTCTCTTTACTGACCTTCATGCGCTGGCGGCTGGTCCCTGGTGGAGGAGGAGGCTCTAATTGATTAATTGATCGACTTTATTGATCTCACAGTAGAGAAATGGACTCGTTACATCAACTCAAATAGTCAGAGAAGAAGAAGAAGAAGAATGAAGAAAAAGGTGCATGATGGGATATTTACAGTAAATACAGTGAATCTGCATATGACAGCTTTTTATATATATATGTATATATAGTAGATCATTATACAGGGTTATTGCATAGGGTGTTTACATGGATATTTAAATAGATGATATTTATACAAATAGTTATTGCAGAGGGTGTCAAATATAGAAAAACAGGTTATTGTTTACATGAGTATTTATGCAGATGATAATTATATGTATAGTATATATTGCTCAGGGTATTAAATAGTAATTATTCTCCATAGCAGCAGTTATTGCGGTTGTAGTGTCTCATTGTAGAATCTGGTTGCAGCAGGAATGAATGACCTGCGGTTGAGCTCCTTTTTCCAAAGAGGCTGTAAAAGTCTTTGACTAAAGGAGCTGCTCAGCTCCTCTATGTGTGGATGAACACGCCATCCTGTCCTCTAGCTAAGGAGCGTTAGCATGAGGTACCGCCGAGTCCTTAGCTAAACTAAAATGACCACCATAGTGGAAAAAAACCAAGACATGACTGATGAACCGGAGAGAAATTAATGTTAGGATCAGAAACAGTATTTAAAGATGAGGAGGAGCGGAGAAGTATGGGTTTATTTACAAAGCAGGCAGCTGCTTCTTCTACTAGTAAAGCATTTCTGGAAAACGTTTCCATGGAAACAGATTTTAAACCTCTAACCAAAAAAGATTCAGATCAGAGAAATTTACACATGGGATGTATTTTATGCCTCAGAAAAAAAAAAGAAGAAATCTCTCAGCCAATCAGATTCTATTGCTGCTCTGTCTTTGTTCTGGTTGGTTTTCTGTGTCTTTGATTGATCTAAACCAGTAAAGTAACCAATCTTCCCAGTAAAGGAAAATAATCTGCATGTTTTGCTTGGTTCTGTATAACTATCATTTCTCTGCTTTGATGTTTGCAGGCCTGCTTAAATCAGAAATGTCAGGACGTGTCTGTGTTCGGTGTGGACGAATGTCGCAGGAAGTGCAGCGGACACGGCGTGAGTCTCACCTGCTGAAATCCACCTAACAGGAACGATCGCTGTAAAAACCAAACGGCTGACGGCGACTCGGAGGTTTGACTGGAGAAAGGATCCAGAGTCCGCCTAAAGCCCAGAACACACCGGATCCGATTTAACCTCCGATCCGACAGAAAAGCGTGCCTCAGGTGGTGCCGTTTAGCGCTGATTAAAAGCCAATGGAGATGATTTCCTGCAGAAGCAGTGTAGTCTATTTTAGTCAGACTACGCAGCAATTCAGCAGCAATTCCATGACAGGAAGAGAGACGCAGTTAGAAAGTAAAACACATCCGCTTTGTGGGAAAAACAAAACCTGTTAAACTGTAGTGGGGAAAAAAAGTATTCAACCCAGTTAAATAAACGGAGATCGGTGGATTTCACTCAACACTTTATTTTATCTTTGCAGAGAGAGAACAGTTCATCAATCCTTTATTGCTCAGTAATCAGCCCTGTTCTGATCTGAGCAGCGTTCGTTCCTCCTTACTAACAATCATGGAAAGCAGTCAGAATTAAAAACAAATTACACTTTGGTTAAACAGTAAAATGTTACGAATAAACCTGAGAAAGAATCTGCTTTGCTATGGAGGTAGCTATATCTGGTCTACAAACACTGATGCAGTGGAACGGTGCGGCCTTACAGGTGAAACAGGCTGAGTGGAAACTTTTATAGAGAGTAAATAGGATAAATTAATATATAAAATAAGAGAA